CTATATTATTAATGATCTCCCTCCATCTGAGTCAATTTGAGCCCTTTAAGTTTGCACTTCAAACTGTATTGCTTTTAGATAAGACTGGCTTGAGCGCTCAAACAACCACGTGGTCAATAGCATCTAAGACAAACAAATCGAATAGTTTTGCAGCTAGTATATTGCAACCATACAATTTCACATAGACAGCTGCCATAGAAGGGTCGAAAAACTAAACGAACTTAAAAACGAAATGCATGACTTCAAAATTCTGCTCGGTATTGTGCTGTTCTCCTCCGGGTAAAGGTTTCTTCGAACCCCAATCGTTTACTTTTTGAAGACAACTTACAGTAACTGAAGTCGTTTAAGCCAAAAACAAATAATATCAACACAATCAACTGAAATTATATCAGAATGGGAAAGATATTTAGGGATTGCGAACAAACATTCCATGGGGTATTTGGTTATTAATCAATTTCACACTGGATTAATTTCCTGGTCCTGGTCCTGAATAAGTTCATCCACTTCTTCCCAATCGATGAAACTGCTACTGGCCGGAGCACCGCCATCGGTAAACTGATCGGTATCCATGGGCATTTTAGAATTGTGGGACGGTTGGAAATCCTGCGACAAGTGATCGATGAGGGAGCGAATAGGGTAATCTACATAGTTAGCGATCAACGCACATATAAAACTGAGGTGATAATGGAACAAAAGGTAGAGTTTACTACACGTTCGCTCACTAGGATTTACAAGACCGATGTGCTTTTTATGCGCCAGTTTGTTTTACGTCAGCAATTGCAAACTACCGAAATGTTAGAATCTTGCAGCACATTTCTTGATGCAATGGATAAAGTGGACCCATTGCTCCAACCATTGATGTAAATTAATCAAAACATCGCCTGAAATCAGAATAGGCTTGACACCTGTCTGGTAAGAACAATTTAAGCAAACGGGAATTAAGTTCGCTCGTTCAGCTGCACAAAAAAACATTGTGGTCAAATTTGGCTCAAGCATATAGCACACAATTTCGAATGTGGTCGTTTTGTCAGTTATCAATATAACTAATGTTTTTATGTAGAAATTATTTGCCGCTGATCGTTGAGAGTGCATCTTTTTAGGTGTCCTCTAAAACGACCAGTTAGCAACACACTACTGTGATATACAACTTCCATTAGATTTCTGGGTTATATCATTTGAGTGACCTATTATAAGAATGCTTATGATGAGCTGTTTTGGAAACATCATACATAACAATTGTCAATGAACTCCAAGTTTTGCAGTTTTCATACTCACTGGAGCTACTCTGGACAAAACCTCAGTGGTACCGTCGGCTTCCTGTTCGTTCGCATAATTGCTTCGGCAACTGGCTTTGCACTCCGTTTCGTACAGCAACCGCTTCACATCACTTTCGATTGACCATTCACTGATTATTGTGGTCTGTTCTTCATCGAGCCAGTCTGAATAGCTCGGCGTCATGAATACGGATGTGCCTGGTTGCGCCTCGACTTGGTCGTCAACATATTCTAGAAGGTGGTGCATTGGGGTCAAATAAATCTAGCGCATGGTCCTACTAATATTAATAGAATGTCACGAACTGAAGTTCTCTGTGTACTCTGTGGTGCGGTACTATTTGGGCTGGCATCAGTACAAAAGTATAATTACATTAAAGGCAATTACGAATATAATTAATTAAATAGTTCAATTAATTATTTAAGTCAACGGGAAATTTCTTACGGCATTCGAGAGAAAAGTAATTCGACTAGCATTATAAACTACAGTAACTCATCTTCGTAACTACAAACGAAAGATATGATCGAGGGTCATGATTCCTATGATATTTGAAATTTTTAATAATAATAATAAAGTTGCGTGATGACACACTAAGAACACTGAACAACGTTTTGTGTTTTCATGATACTTGTTAATTTTGCGTATTTCATACGTTCATGACGGAAATCCATTCGTGAACCTGTGAGCTAAATATCTGATACCCAACACATTGGGCTAGTCTAAGACTTCGGCTGTAAATGCTCCTGCCCTAGCATCAGCGACGTGTCAGTACTCAGCATACTGGCAAATCATGAACGATTTTTGTGTTATAAAGATTATTGTACAGTGATTTGTTTATCACTGTCTCGACTCAGACATGTGCAAAAAATTGATAACACAGTTAAGTCTATCAATTAGATAACATTCGCAGGAGAATAATTAACGGATCTAGATCTCTTCAAATAGTCATAAACCAAAAAAAACATTAAATTTAAGAGCATTTTATTCTACCAATAAATGTATTCGCAGACTAACAAAATCCATTGGAAGTAGATCAAAAACATACCGAAATGGAGATGCAAAAGTAATTAGCATTAAAAACATTTAGCATTCTGTAGCCAACAAAATGAATGATATGAAACATTTTGCACAATTCATGAACCACAGACGAGCATCCCTGGCGATATATTTATCGAAAGCATATCGGTGAGTGTGGTAGATTTATTGTCGCAAACGAAATGCGTATTCCACACGTGGAAACCAAGATTCCGACCACCAGTGAAAAGGGCTCCGAATAATTATATCAAACTGTTGAGGAATCCTCTTATGATGTGTCTAACAAGAAAGAGCAATGAACGCGATATTATGCAGTTTTTATTCGTTGCATGTTGATGAGGGCAAGGTCAGGGGTCTCAAGCGTTTAGCGTGTCATATTAAATTTCATTGTATTTGGTAGATATGCATCATTCACGATTAATGATAAGTATAAAATAGCTGTTGGGCGCTTCCAAGGCTTTTCAATGGTGAACGAAACATGGACTTTAGCGTTAGTCTCACGGAGTCCATAGAACGAACAACCTTAACGAATGCTTCCAAGTTTAGGGTGAAATAGTTATTGCAATTGATCAGTTCCAAACTCATTAGGCAATTGCGACAGACAAACATAATCATTACGTAAGTCAATTTTCTTTCAAAAAATCACCTCCTTTGCATAAGGCAACAATGGGGTTGATATCCACTTCCCTGGTGGAGGATGATGAACTTAGTCAATACTTTGCTGAACCCTTACTGGCTCCGCTAGCAATAGTAAACAACAAGATTATGGTGGTTTGTGATTTTAAATGTCAACTGATCAGGAAGCGGTCACTATGATCAACTATTCCATATAGCGTACTGAGCACAAACACAAGTCAACACATTAAAAAAATAATAATCCCTGTGAATTAGAAATGTTGATGGTGAACTTGAAGTCCTGGAGACTTAGACAACATCACACTGAACAAACAAAAGACGAGTGAAAATTTTAAAACTTCATTATGCGTTTCTTTAATTAAATAACCATAAAATTTAGTTTTACAGCATACATATGTAAACACGTACACACCGCGATACAGGTATTTCACACAAAAAGAATTTTGGAAAACCAAGTTTTCACCCAAATCGCTTTTATTACGGGTGTTGCTCAATTTATTTGGTATTTCAATATGAAAGAGCTGAAAAGCACTCCCTAATTCATGTATGTTCCTTAATCTCCTGAAGCGATTGGTTTGAAATTGTGCATGGGAAACTTAATTGTTAATTATTTGATCGACGAAAACAAATTACCCATTCCAATTCTATCGTTCTTTCGATGAGACGATTTGACTTTCCGTCCCCGTGTGCTAGTGCGATGATGGACTGATGAGCGATTTGCACTGGGTTTGGCTTTATATGCCTGTGCATTGGCAGGTCGCCGGAACATGATCGCTGTGGTTTGTCTTGAGTGGACCTGGTTAATTGACCTTCCCACCGAGCGTCTCTGTTCAAGCGGTCGTAAAGAGAGTACAGAAAGTACGATTGTTTGTGTCATTCACTCAGGAATGCACAAACAGTCAATGATAATGATCGTTACATTAAAAGTAGGAGCTTACGGTTGTCTCATGTAATAGACAGAGTTTCAAATATATACAAAATATATTCCAGTAGAACGTTAAATGATATTCAGCTTCAATCAAACCGTGAATAAAGCATCGCATTGGTTATTTGTCACTGTAGAACAATATTCCCATTCCTCAGTCTTGTTTTATTTGAAGCAGTAAAATATCTCGGGCCTCTTGTCATCACTGATAACGAACGGCGTCAAGCTTTCACTTAAAGGGCTTTACGCTGATCCCCTGCACCTACTTTCGCAGTCAGCTCATTTCATAAGTTATGATCGGTCTTGAGAGAATTTATTCCAATTGAAGGCCTATACATAGAAGTTTCAACGGAGTCAATGCCTGAGGTTAAGTGTTTAAACAACCCCTCAGAAGAAAGTTGGCTTGGATCTCCTGACCCATAATCCCCGCAAAATTTGATCCTATTCCTATATTCGCCTACCGAAGTGAGCTAGTTGCTCTAAAGCTTTCTTCAAAGCAGGTCTTATGCGGGCCAGTAATGATCCGTGTAGCAGATCGGAGCATCCTCTCTAGCTTGTCTAATTTTTTAGTGTAAAAATAGACAGGAGCGACTCCGCAATCTAGGCCGGGCCAACATCAGAGGTGCACGGTATACAGGACAGGACAGGACAGGACAAGACACAGGACTTGCGGCAAAGCCAGAGGGAGTTCAGTTTCTGTCACCAGGTGAACTCGAAATGGGCGATACGGTGCTTCGACAGTCGGAAGGAGACGTAGGACAAGTTCTCGAAAGATAATCAGATTGTCCCAAAGCATACTCCAGGCAAACGCACAAATTTTTCGGCGTGGATTTGTGTTTTACGCAAGGAAGAATGTAACCATCGGATAAGGGTTACTGTCCTCCCAAACGTTTCCCTGACAGAACAATGCTCTTATTTTTATGGTCTCCAGTGTTGTAAAGCTTCCGTTGAGAAATATTATGTCGAGGATGAATCTCAGTTGGAATGCGTCATCATCAATCCGATCTTGTGCTGCAGTCGCGCAAGCCTTCTGTAACTTGAGCACAAAGAACCGTTACCTAAGGAGTGGATTGGCTCCACTCGGTGTGGCCATGACCGCCTGTTTCTCAGGATGTTTCATGAGGACTTCCATGGTGCTCCTCCGTGTCACAGTCGCTTTTGCTATTCTGAGTGTTGGCACGGACACCAAGATGACAGTGGCTGCGGCGGTCACTGTAGTCGAACTGGCGAGTACCGAAACGTTCATGGGCTCTCGTCTACACTGGCTGGCAGCCTCTAGAAAACGGGGAGTGTGATATTGGTGGTGCAGTCATTGGATTAACTATTTAACTGTCTACTACTTTTGCGTCCACCGATGTATCAGCATTTACAGTGTCACTTCTTGGGCATAGTTGCGTAGACCAGACAGGAGAACCGATACACCCCTGATGAATATCGAATTTCGTGTATACGAACGATCACACATCAACCACAACCATCACACAGCAAAGCTTTTGGTTTGGGGGTAAAAAAGTTCATGACACTGTGCATACATTTTCCTCTCGATCTTTAATGCGTGGATGATTCTGCATGCAGAAGAAAAGCACAATAATCCCGAAAAACGAACACGTACAAGATTTCGCGCCTAGCGTAGCGCCTTATAATCAACTTTTAACAGATGTTCTGTTTGACGGATCTAGGACAGCACATTTGATTGAAACACAGAAGATCTTAACGGCATGGTTCGTTTATTAGATTAAATGAAATAAATTGGACTGATATATACATACGTCAGATAAATGTACTCGATGTGCAATTAGTTAGAAAATCCAACAACGCAAGCTTTAATAGCTTGGCCATAACCGGCACGTATCCAAGGTGAGACCAGCATAAGGTTTGGGTTTTATATCGAATGGTTTGCATTAGAGGGAAATGCACAAAATGAAGTGTAAACTGTACAACTAACATAAAATACTACAAACACTGGGTTTATCTTGACCATAAAAGAAAGATGAAGCCGTGATTGACCCTCAACCCAGCCTCTCAAATTTCACACTTGTTTCACCCCACCGTGTTCATGTAGTAACATTTGGCATTTTCTGCTGACCGATACACGAAAGTATTTTTATCTGCTATCAATTTATTTGAACAGTGACAATGAGTGTTCAATCAATAATATAAAACAGTTTCACAATTTGAGTAGATGATAATCAATCATAAATCAATGCACGGCAAAGTGTGTTCTGGATTGGTTCGGTCAGTCTTTATGCAAGGTGTAAATGCGTCTGTTTGGTGTAGGAAATACGAAATGATTTCAACACCACTATTTATGCAATGTTGTAATAGTCTGGTATAATAACCGACGTTCAGTTCATGTTAGTTTGTATAACCATTAACCGTGCACTGTCGTGCGCCGATTCTGGTTTCTGTCTTTGGTCTGCTCACTTGGATCAACAGTAGGAGAAAGACAGGAAAGTCGAAAGTGGAATCCAAGAGAGAATAGAGAATCTCGGTGGGATAAGATTGCAAAGACATTGCGATACACGAACGCCATTCTTTACGACTTTCAGTAATACCACTCAGTGTCTCTAACCATCGATTACGATCATACCGAAGTCCCCAACCAGAGAGCCCAGCGGGATTTATATAACCGAATCTCCGGATTAGGGTTTACATACCCTCATGTCAGGTCTTATTTTGAACAACCTTGGCTTTATTTCACCTACTGCCTGCCTGAGTAAACATCACGTGCCGTGTTGCAACCTATTTGGTGACGGGCGTAACACGTTCCAACGAACGTAGTTTGTAGAGGTCGACCGCTTGCTCCAGTGGGCGACTGCGATTACCTAAAACTCTGCGCATAACCTCACCATTGCCCCACCAGATTCGTGCAGTGCTGCGTAGACAGCGAAATAATGTCAAAGTTAGATGAAGAACATCAGGTAATGATAGTCGCGTATTAAAACAAACGCTTGAAATTTACATTGCGCTGAAGTTGATGTATCGGTAACAAATGGGATCTGATAGACTTCGTCGAAATGCGATGCTTGTGCAGACATGAAACAGGTTATACGTGTGCAGAATATAAGAGCTGGAATCCTGTATACATTTAAACGGAAAACGAATGGCAATTGATCGATAGTTTCAGTGAAAATGGCTCTAATCAGAGGTGAACTTACCATTGCAGGGCTTTCGTAGAACTTTAATGGAAAGTTGTTCTGATCGTGAAGAGCCATGACCTAAAAAGGACGGATTTAATACGTCAGTGCTATGAGACAGAATGGGGAGAGATCGTCAGTATAACATGCAAACAGGTAAAATCAGAATGAAGAAACTGCTCAGTGGTTAACTAAAATTGAATGATTGTAAAACTAGTCATTCTTTGAAACACGCAGCATACCGCATGCTTTGGCTTCTCGAATTATTGAATCTCATATACGAATCAACAATGGTAGTAACAAGAAAACACCGATTATGTGATAAAAGATTACGAACAATTACATTTGGAATATAATAGAAACTTCGATTGAATCAGTATTGCTGAGAGTGATAAAATAATTGCTTTTAGTACGAAGTTGACGAAAAGTGAAACGGGGCTCGTTGAAAGTATTTTACCACAGGTCTAAAAAGTTTTACAGTATCACAAACCACATTTAAGTATTGCCCTAACTCAGGATATCGGTTTTGACGCTGTAAGACAGCAAAAAAGGAAGCACAAAAGTTACACAGTGGTTATCTACATTTATTTTAAGTATGATAAGAAATCAGATCACCACCTGAATGAAGGATCAGAAATCACTGAAGATGACCAATACGATTGAAACAACAATACGTTGGCTGACAATACTTTTATTTGCATTGTACTCGTTTAGCACACTAAAAATCCTTCGAACTTACTAAGCCCAAACCCTCTGTCACACAGCTATTGAAGTTTATTTTCTACTTGAGTTTGGATTTTTTTTTCTGTTGCAGCTCCCACGCGGTATGTATATATTCAATGTCTGGAGAGGAAAATAGAATACACGGACCTTATATGATGCATCTGAGTGAGTTGGTGGTGCCTCTTCACCTCCCTAGGAAAGTGATCAATCTCTGGAAAGCTTTTAGAGGTGTACACGAACATAGATACAAACAATTAATGGCAGGCCAATGCTATACAACCAAAGAAATGGAGTAGTACATGATGGGGTTCTTAGTCGGAGGGACACCCACTACCCATCGAAAGAAATAATACCGACTCAATAATTGAGAGTTTTCCTCAGCTTACTTCATTCGCAAACTCCGCCGCATCAGCACATCGCTTAGCGTGAAGAGCTGAATTCCTCTCTTTACGCGCCTGTTCCCTTTTACGTGACAGTGATCCAACAGAAGTCCGACGTGAGGATTTTCTTGGTGTTGCAGCCAAGTCACCAGGACCGCTGATGCTTACAATATTGCCGGGAGTATTAGGCATCTGTCCGTTGAGAAAAGGATCCAAAATATGTGAACTTCCGGATCGACGATCCACAGAATTCGCACATGACCGCCTGGGTTTCACGGAGTGAGATATTTGACCGGTTAACGAATTTTGGCGAGCAGCATCCGTCAAAGGTCTTTTCAGACTAGAAGCGCGAGGTCCTGCCGTAGGTGGTAAGCGACTGTCCATAAATTGAGGAAGACCAGCTTGACTAACCTTTCTGGAAGATAGCAGTGAATTGAGATCAGCCCTGGTCAGATCGAGAATGCGCCTTATTCTTCTACAGTTAGGCAAATTTGCGTTGAATTATCGCGTGCTTTAACCTAAAAGCATTTTACACACCAAGAAAATAGTTTATTCAATAATAAGAATGGCAATACTTTTTGCGGTTTCACGTTGAACAACCAATAACCATACCATTTGGTACTTCGGTTTTGATTACTGTCTTTTGGTTGCCTATTTCTATCAAGAGACGAAAAGAAGATTGGAAGGATAGAAGTAGTGTGAATGTGGAAATATAGAATTCCTGTGGACTAATGTGAAGAAGTGGATTAGATGCATGTGCGCCACTGTTTGTGACACTTAGCCATATAAACTAGTGCATCTAACCATCAGTTACCTTGATCTGTAGGTCTAGGAAGCTTAACGCGAACAACGTGAGTAAGCTTCATGGTTAGGGTTTTCATACCCTCTTGCCACGTCTTAGTTTGAAAACCCTCGACTTTTTTGCATCCGTTACCTGCCTTTGCAAACATCGCTCACCTTGGCAACTTAGTTGATTCCATGCGGCACACGTGTTCGTTAAAAATGTTTTCTTGTAAAGCGAAAAAGATAAGATGTAATTGAATTGACGCATATTGCCACGTGGATATAAATCGACTTGAACGTATTGCAAATAGACGCTATTTCTAGGTTCAGGTGAGTAGAAGAAAAGCATGAAGAACGTGTGACGTATCAGAACATATACTATGGCTCAGTCGCTCACAATAAGGAACGCAATTATTTAAAGACAAAATAAACCAAGTATGATCAATAAGAGTTTCTTCCTCATACTGAGTGGGACGAAACTGCAGAAATGAATGTACTATTCATTCCACGTCACCTTCCTGTGCACTAACATTCTGATGACGAGTTAAGCCTACATTTGGATATGTTAACGGATGGCTTGCTAAATTTTCGATCGTGAATTTTGAAATCCGATCGCAGCTTTGAAATGATGTAGTAAATCGTTACACTCTGTTGTGGAATGTATCACGCAAAAATGTCTTCTACACAAAGCTTGCACAGCACGCGTGGTTCGCAAGGTGTTTCTAGCCGACACATTTCTATTCTGGACATAAAACGTCGGCAAACAGGAGCCTTAGCGGGGACCCCATGACCACATAGAAAAAGGCATTTTGTGCGTGGTCGATTCCATAGCAGACTGTACACATTCACTGGATCATTTTAGTGCGGCTCACCGTTATTTGAAATCCACGATCTAAAATGAAGCAAACAAGCAGCCAGCATATCTATATGTTTGCCAAACTCATGGTGATGACGGGTCGAGCAGACGTTCGGTACACAGCAAGGCAAAGTGAAATGAGCAGTACATTCGTTTTCGTAGCTTTGACCCACATAGTATGAAGAAGAATCTCACACACTGTTTGTCCAACGGAGCGGGAACAGTCTGTACGGAAGATAAACCGATTGATGAACTCCAAAATGTGTGGGATATCTTCATTAAGAATGGATATCTGGAGCCCTTCGTGTGACCTGTGATGCAGACAAACAAAGCATTTCCCAAAAGGTAATCACTGAAAAGATGTCTGTGTACATCTCTTCATCATTTAATTGAAATAACTAAAAACCAACTTCTCAGCTAATATATTTGTCTGTTTGGAATAAATACAAGGTGTATGCACAGTGTGAGAAAAAAATTGCACAAGATTAAAATCATAGCCGCACCTCGGTTTGGATCCGTCAGAACGAACAACAGACGACTTTCTCGGCATGCTCTGGGACTTCTTGTTGCTTTCATTTTCGTTCAGTCTGCACAGAGCCGAAAAAAAAACAATTTCAATTTTTATTCACATAACGCTTCTCAAGCCGTGGTACCATAAAATTTGTTTGACGCTCCAGTTTCCCGTGACCACCGTAACAACCGAAAAAAAAAACGAATCGTAAGAGCACGAGTAATGATACTGTCTGACGACGAACACATGCTCAGTACTGTGAAAGAAACGTTTCTGGGTATGATCCATCGTTGGATATTAAAAACGGAACGTGTTCAGTCAAAATATAATGAAATGGTTGATGTTTAGTCAAGGCTTCGAGTACGGGATGTGATATTTGACCCAAAGTAATCTGTTGACACATTCCACTATTTAGTCGATCACCTGATTGAAAATACGGAGATGGGACTAGAGGATGGTAGTAAGGTAGTTTTCTATCACGATTATGGGGTTTATCGTCTTGCTACGGACTGAGTTGACAAAGGCACAACGACCACATGTCGGAAACAAACCAGACAAAGCACGCTAATGAAAATCACTCATCAGAGCAAGCTTTGATTGATGCTGGATTGCTCAGGCACAGCTCGCGTCAATATAAAACTTAATGACTGCCCACACCAATCACTCGACACTGCCGTCTTAATTTCCTATTGTTCAACCCAGCTTTCGTTATCAAACACACGTACAAGCAGTTTCGTTCGACGGTATTTTGACGTTCATACGTCCATTTTTATTACTACAGCACAGTAACGTTTCAATCAACCACAATAACCCCCCCCCCTAATCCCAGCCCTTTTGGCAACTTAGTTACACAAGCAAGCGGGGGATTTGTGCCTGATTGTAGGTCAATCTAATCGGGAATAGTCAACCAATGAGCATCACATGAGACGAGAGGTTATTGAGCCGGTCAGGTTTTAGTAAGGGGCATGTTCTACCCATTCTTATGTGTACTGAGCAAAATCCTGGCACTTAATAACAACCAATCGATCATCTACCCGAAGAGACCCAGTAAACCATTCCATAACTCTCATATTGGTCCACTAATGCCTAACTGTGTCAGCTGGGCTCATTTGGCCATCCCATGACTGTCTGTACTGTGGTTGGCACTTCGACAACCACGCGTGTCCAAGGGACGGATACCAACTCTGGACGGCTTTGTGAGTATGCCTAAGCACTAGAGACGAGTTCAAGCTTTCCCATTATTGAGATCTACAGCGGACTGCAACATTTTTCGAGCATAGCTGTAATCTGTTTGATAGATAGATTGGTCGATGCTGCCTGCTAGCATGTACATAAACGAGCTCACGTCATGCAAACTTACTCTATTACGATATCAATCGGTATTCGGGTGTCGCGTAACGGTTGAGCCGGTTGTCGGCTTGCAGCCTGCCTACATGTAAGTACCCCTGTTTGCTCAAAGGCCTACAAACCATCTACTTGCTTACCTACTGCAGATAAACGTACTGCCTAGTTCACTGCAGTGGTTATTTATTTACTCAGACGGGACAGCATCCAGCGTCCATAGTTATTAACCGTCACTTTTAACTTTTGACTAAATAAACAGTAGTAAAATTTGATTTAAACTGGGCCTTTTGGGTTCCGTAAATCCTGATGTGCTTAGACACCCGCATTTTCGCCACGAGAAACCAGAACATTAAAAAGATTGCTCAAGAAGTGTCACATCATAACAGTGCATCTGAACACTTAGCACACAAACACGTATCAAACACGCGAGTCAACGAAAACTCACTGATCTTGCTCCAGTGGTTGTTCAAACGCGATTCGCTTAGATAATACTGGTGCCGGTGTCGACTGTGTTTGTTGTTCCGAGCCAAACCGAATCAAATGTTCCAAAAACTAAAACACAATAATTTTTTTATATTCGTCTCTGTTAATATCAACAACTGGCTTGAATAGGAAGTAACAATTGTGTGTATACAGGAAAACGAATGTCCGTGATCTTCTGATTATTCTGTTGCGCGGGTACGTAACTCAAATTCCTTTTCCGCCAACTCTAATCACTGAATACGGAAACTTCGCAAATTTTGCTGCTTACCAAAACCTGAAACAATGTCTTTCAATGAGACCAGTCTTCCTGCACACAACTCATTGTAGTGGGTCACCAAATTTTAACGACCGATCGAATCGAACCTGGACTAATGTAGTTTCCAGACACCTATCAGCATCTACCAATCAATCACCCCCATGTGTTCCCCTTGATCGTGAATTCTGCCAACACCTTCCTGGTGGAAATAGTTAACTTCACGTGAAATAGGACAGATAAGTTCCTGGTCTCTGAGGCCAGGTATATAACATTACTTTATACTTACGACATTGAGATTTATTTTGATCAGTTTAGGTACAAACAAGATGAGGATTTGATCATGAGCAGTCCAGGGGCACACTACTGCCGGAAGTTCTATTGAAGTAGTGATCTGCTTCAACTGTGTTGTCGCATTTCGAAAATATGAAGAACAATTTCAACTCGCCACAGCTGTGCATTCCCAAAACTTTCGAGACACAACTCCATCATATTTCTCAATATGAGCATGACAGGAAGGCGGGACAAAGATATACGTCTTTCTGGCTGTTCCAAACCCTTTTGGGTAAGGCAGTACTTAAAGTTTCGCAGTTTATCAATAGCAGCCCACGAGCGTTGGGTTATCTGAACAGCTTTCTTCATGGCTAGACGAATATGCATAGCTGACACAATGGAGGGGTAATTGGGTTTGATATATAAATAACTCACCGATGCTTTCAGAAAATACCACAGACAATACTCCACTATCAGATATTCTTATACTATAATATAAGAACAGGGTTTGAGTCGTTAGCTATTAAGTTTATTTATTTATTAAGTTTATTACATTGTTTAAAAACGAGCCCATGTCATGCCTGAAATACGATGAACATAGAATACCTATCTTAGGGGCGCATAAAAAGCTCCCAAGAAACTCATTACTGCGTACTTAAGAGTAAAGTTACCTGTGAGTGCGTTAAATAATATATACTGAAAGAAAAAACAAACCTCTCAAGAGGTAAGCATTGAAAATGTGTCTAATTTACGACGTCAGTCGATGATGCTGTTTCCTATACGCACCTACAAGTGTTTCACAGGGACCCATTGCTTCAGTTTCGGTTAGACCTGTAGATGATTAATCACCAGCTAGGGTCCTTATCACACGTCATAGGTGTGCACTGGTCACAAATTCGATGTCACCTTACATCTATCCTGGTGACCTTTACTAGTGGTAGAATAAAAACTGTTCAACTCAATTGAAGCCGTACAGGATACATCACCACGAGTACCATATTGTGCTCAAACATATGATGCTGTTTCTTTCTTTGTTTGTCACATTAAGGAAATACATTTTTGAGGATATTTATAAAACCATACAATTCACTATTTATGTTCTGATGGTAATGAACTTGTTGTGTAACACAGAAAGCAGACTATTGAAAATTCTGAAATAAACTACTCAGGTACAGCTTTCCGAAGGTGATCGTCAATTAAGAGTGAAGAAAGCATTCCTGTGGGCTTCTTCTATAAATGAGACCCCTAATGGATGCAAAATACTTGTCTTGATGTATAACGGGAAATAGTACACTTTTCTAGGCGTGCCGTGCTAGTTTGTACTATCAGCACATGGGTGCTGTGCATTAATGATATAAAACTTATGGCATACTGATATCCTCCCCTTGAAGACTACTCTAAAAGTAATTTTAAACGGGGACAAGACCAATATAACCAAACGTTGACCGTACATGTTTTTTTTCTTGCCCGATGGGTTTTTCACCTTAGGCGACAGAATTTGCGGTCGAAAACTATAAAAGGACCAAATTCAAGCCCGTCAAGGCATAACTAAAAACATGGAAAAAAGAGTGACGATCAACTAACTTCTTGATTCTTTCGATATTCCTCTTGTAGGCGACTGGACACTCGGTCCACAGCGGACAGTCGGGTGTCCAATTCACTAAGGGCTTTTACTACATCCAAACGAACACGTGATGGCCCATCGCCTAGCCACATTTCGTCTGATTTCTGTCCGACAATTTGAGTACACGCATTATGTTTATCTCCGAGAGGTACCGTTTCCGAAGTGCAAGCATTCTCATCCTTTGGCGGAGTTTCTTGGCGGATCAAATCGTACTGAGCACCAGAATCTGTTTTGGTAGGCTTCTGAACGGCATCTGTCGCATTTGGTTGCATTGAATGGCTGTGCACACGCAGAAGTTTGGATAGTTCCAATAAACCAGGGACATTCGGTTGTGCTTGATTTTGTTCCACCACATCCCACTCGCTGAGTTCAACACTGCAAACACTCAGAAACTGATTTTCTTCGTGCTAGGACAGAAAGATAGGATTTTTCCAAGGTCGATGAAGAACAAAGTAAAAGAAGCGTATCATTATTAAATCTTATGGGCTAATTGACTCACTCGTCAAGCGTCTAAGACGTAAAAAGTAGATTGCATACGAGGACCAAATTTAAGAAGTAGTTTAATGCAGTACACTGAATGATCGGTGCAACCTCCATTTGGTGTGTAAAATATCAATTTTAGACGCTTCATAATGCTTGAAACAATATGAAGAAAAAAATCAAAAAATCATTTTATTTTACTCACTGTTAGATCGCTTTGAAGAATATCATCCAAACGAATAACAGGAGGCGGTGCAGTGTCCATCGACGGAGGTAGTAAACCTTTGAGCAAATGGAAGTGGATAGAGAAAATGGTATACGAAAATCCATATGGTAATGTGCATAAGAATAACAGAAGTTCATCAACTAAGCGGATTTGTACCCCTTTCACTCGTATGAAAAATATCCCGGAAACCGTTTCGAAAGAAAGCAGATATTCTTTTTTTACACGCAAGTTTAATCTACATGGATTACATTTGTTGATCGAGAAACCCACCTTGATTGGCCAAAGGTTGAGATAAATGCTTCCAATCCATATCTTCTACGTGACGGATCCCATCTGAAGAAAAATGTAACAGTTCAGTTCACTTGCACTCGTATCTATTTCAGGGTTGGAACTTAAATTTAATTCTGCTGCCCCAAATAATTAATGAACAAAACACACATTAGAAAAGAATAGCAATATCAGTCGTGACGGGAAAAAGTATAGACATCATAAAATTACGGAAATGCATATGATTCACATTGTCCGACAATTCTTCCTGTCGTCCGGTTTCATTAGTCATAAATAAGACTGGTTTCTAAAACCAAATTACTAACAGAATCTTTATTTAGCCGTCAATTTAGCTGTTGAGCACTGCATTTTGAAACTTTTATCACAAAATACGCAGTAACCACTCCTATTATCATAATTTTTGTATATATAACTGCATGAAGTTCAGTAGCTACTTCCTGCATTGGAGGTTTCGTTTCACGCTCAAGTTCAATTGGCATAACCCGTTCGTACTCCAATTTGAGCTGCCGTACCAACGGAAAGAATTTAGAGGCAACTGCAATCTGATGCCGGCAAACTTCAAACATAGATCTTTCCTTCACTGCTCGTATCTATGCAATAAACAAACCGCAGCAACATACAGTCAACCGATTGCACTTTTGGCCCAGATAGCAAAGAAAACATGGACAGACTTTTGAGATCCATCACTGATGCGCCATCAAAATTGGACCAATGCTTATAGGAAATATAGCACACCACAACGTCCAGTGAGTTCTAGCACAGAGTTTGGACACTCGATAGAATAGTCTCCACCATTTCTGTAGGGTGCACAAAGAGTTTATTCACGGCGAATTGAGAAGGATTCTAATGAGCCATTTAGCGCGTCAGTCACGGATCACAGAGTAGGCTTTCTTAAGCCTGAGAAGGTTAGAATGTAGACTCTCTGTCCCGGGAGCTGAAGCACTCTTCGTTGAATTAGGGGGTTTTGTTATCCCATTTCCAAAATTCTTTTCTAGTAAGTTGTAAAGGAATGTGCTTCGACATTGGCTCCCGTATTTGTATTCAATGTTCAACTGATAGAAAGGTTCATATTTGTAACAGAGCTGTTTGTTTCGGACCAGGAGTCCAAAAGGAATACCTTGAAAGTTCGCCCCATAACCGGTGATACATTCGCCCTAAATGTATAGCAAAGGCTTAGTTCATGCAAAAACTTACCATGTTACATCTAATTCCTGCAGACGTAGATATGCCCCTGTCCATTTTCTACCTTTTTGCTGATTATTTCACGGAAAACCCTTCAGTTCATTGGATTTCATATTTAAGTCTCTGATCCGTTAGCATCTGCTTGTATTCTGTGTGGTCCTAAAATGTCACATGTTCTGTTTCCTTTGTATATCTTCAAATTGCACGTTTTTCTGGATTCTCTGACTATAAAGTGCGCTGACTATAACACTGATCGATTGCTATATTCGGACAAATCCATTCGGTCTGATTGACCTGTCCCGTATCCTACGTCGATTGCAAATGTAGGGGTGCAACTGACTAAGAGTACCCGAAATGACTGAATTCATGTTACCAGCCGAAATGTGGTTTTCCACGCCATATTAAAGTTTGTGAAAGAAAGTAAACGTATGAAATACTTGACTTGGTGTGAAATGTTTGAGGTACGAAATCGGGTAAAGCTGATGCATCGACCGTGGGAGAAAATCCCTATTCAAATCCTACACGAAGTCTTCAACTTCTCTCCGCTATAATTTATGTTTTCAGCGGTTTCTGTACAACGAAACTGTCGAGGGAAGACGTATTCCATCAGGTTGACTTTAAGTTTGACCACCGCTCAACAGTCAATGAACCTTGGATGCATTATGTTCGCTGTCTTTCAACCGGACAGCGAAAAGACATCAATCGAACATTCGTTGATTTATCAAAACCAGCTTCATTAATTAGCCCTGCAGAGTAAGTCAATAGCGATCTTGGCAGAGATGTTTTACAGTGACAATTTACAATGAGGGAAGACAATTGTTTTCCATCAAGCAAAGTTCTAATAACCGTAACAACAATAAACTCAGGGTCTTATAACAGTTAGGCTGTGCTCATTAGAGCCAATGAGAGCATTCATGTTCTGAAAAAATGATGAGTGACTGACGACAAAATGGCATGATTTCGAGTGGGGAAGTATCCCATATTATGCAGATAAAATGAGAGAATAGGTGAAATCAAAGTCTGGTTAAAATTGCTTGAAATCACAGGTGAGGTATCAATGTGTAAGGGGACCAGAACAATTATGGCAGATTGAGTAAAAGAAATAAGTGACCTAAGAAAGAGAACACTGACAAATAAGCTGTGCACCGACAATTATAATACTACTCAAATGCAAGAACTCTGGATCGATATACCTCAGATACACGAACTATCATGAGAAGAACATGTGAGGGAAACCTGCTACTTGCCACTTGCATCAATAACGACGCTGCAATCCGCCTTTTTCTTAATGCTGTTCTAACATAAAATGTTTCTTGAAAAACGGAAACGATACATTTCATATTGAATACTTCTCTTAATCAGGACTTAAATTAGTAGCATTCTAAAACCAAAACCCGTACAAAATTAAGATCTGGAACTTAGGATCAAATTAATGCTTTATGCTCTTACAACTGTCGCAATCGAAAACAGAACGGTAAAGTAATGACAATCTCCACTGTCTCATATCATCAGCACCGTAAATAATAGAAAATATTGCTTAGGGCAGAACACTGGAATTAGACCAGAGTAAAATTTACTTCAAGTCTTGAATGGGGGTAAAAAATATAATTACATATTTTGATGTAACGGTCAGGTTTAGAATGATTGTCTGGGATTAGATTTTCTCTGCTGGGAGTTAGTACCAGGAGGAGATGAATGTGTTGCTTGATAAAGGTTGCAATGAGTTGCACAATAGCAAGTGTAGGCGGAGTAAAACGAATTGATCACCTGTTCAGCTATCAACTAAGTCTGATACACTCGCACCGTTACCTTCCCAGTTCAGTACCAAATACAGTCTTTTATTTTGCACTGTTGGCAACACGCAGAAAAACAGGTCCACAAAGCTTATATGCACAATTTGACCGAAGTCTTCTTCTGGAAATTTTGTTCAGCTACAAGCATTTGCAAATTTACATGATTATGTTGTAGAAACTCTATGCTCTCAAAAAACAATTTGTTAAAGCCCTACAGCTACCCTGGCCCAGACCCGACGCAGAACGTCAATTCATCCATGACCCTTCTCGTGACCCCTTGACCTAAATTTGTGACCTCACCCTTCCAGGAGACATCCACCCAAAACAGCCACCTTGATTGCCGGCATCACTCGTTTGCAGTCAGTGTGCGGCGGATGGAATTCTCTCCCATCCTATGTAGTGTGCTCCTATTTAAATCGAAACTTTATAAAGCATTGGAACACATAAAATTTCAACATCCGTGAGTGATCATGCAAATTGCTATTATTATTATTTTCTCTCAGTGAAGTTATTCAAAATATTCTGTAAAAGTCCTATGGGGCATGATAAGCCTTAGCTTTATTAAATCACCCATAATAAAACTTTGATTTTTATCTTTTATCCCTCTTCCTCTCCATTCCTTTCTTTTTTCCACGATTCCCTATTCTAAACCACGGATTAACAATTTTTGTTTTTTGTCCTTCCCAATCACTCTTCACTTGTTCCATACCGTCCAATCAACGCATATTCATTCTGACATTGTTTGCTACACATTTGTTCACTACTCATGTATAACTGTATTAGCCAGAGGATGAAGTTATCCAAAACGAGCTTGTTCACTACTCTTGTTGTTCTGTCAAAAAATAATGTCTTTGAAATTATCTTTTCGAATTTGTGATGAAATACTGCTGGGTCCAGATGCGTATTGAGGAAAAATCGGATGCTGACTGACTCCAGGCAATGGTGCTTTACATATATACTATCACAGTTAGTGGGCGGAAAATTCAAGAGTTATAAAGAACAAAAAACAAACAGTAATCCAGATCTGGGTGAGATAAAAACGTGTGTATCCTGAAAACAATTTCTAATTTTTGTGCAGTACTAATTGTTAACAGTTATTATTCTAGATACTATTGGCGATTTATTTATTCGGCAACTTTTTAGTTCAACCATTCTGCCTAAAGACAGATTAGTACCTACCAACGTTTTAAGATCACACTTCGATGCATAATCCAAAAAATGACTCCATTCTACACCTACCTCGCCCGATTACGTAATCACGAAAAATAAACGCATCTTCCATCAGGATGTCATCAAATTGCATTCCAAAATCTTGACAGGAAACCGTATAAGTCATTTTATCTTCTTTCTGTCCGTGAGAAGTTTGAACACTGAGCTCTGCATGCTCCTTCTGGATTGGTGGTACTTGATCCATCACCGCGCTACCACCTGAGCTGCCTTTGTCGTTTTCTGAATCCCGGTTCTCATCAGATGATGTATTAGTTGGTTGTCCGCTTTCTGACTTAACATTCTGAACTGAAGGAACGGGTTGTGTTCTTGGATTATGTAGGGGTATCCTCAACAACTGGAATGGTTGAGAAGTTGCAACAACTTCCGGTAATGCATGTGGTCGAGGGATATCGTTTAATTGTGTCCCTCTGATTGGAAAATTTGTTTCCCTAAAGGTTGGCACAGACAAATGTTGGTCATCATCAAGCAGGATTTGTTTGCTGAAGTTCAACAGCTTGATTGAGGAATTGCACCACTGGGCTAGTGGAAGGTCCTTTAGTTGGGTTAGCTCTGTGCCAGCACAGCGAGAGGATACAAATGGATTCATCTGTCCCTGGGACAAAAGACGGCATTCAAATAGTTCATCCATGTAAGGTGTATCCGCCACTGGGGTTGGTAATTGCAGTAACGGAAGTCTTTGAAACTTCTGAATAAGGTCATCAAGTTGAGAACCAGAACGGGACGATGGATATGCTTTTGGCACACGAATCAGTGATATGTTTTCCGTTGTTTTCAAAAAGGGCTTAACTGTATCACTGTGTAGCAGTGGAACCGGTGTGACGGTTTTGGGTAGAAACGGATTTTCCGACGCGTGTGCCCGGCAATCGAGTAACTGGATCTGGAAAAGAGGGCATATAATAACTTCCGGTAATATCCGCATGTAACCGTCAGTTTTTTGTTGTTTTCCAGGACTGTCTTTATGATATGTCTTCAGTGTCTGTTTTACACAGCATAAGGATGCCCATTGGTATGCATGAAACAAAAAGCTGTTTAAATGCGGTGGGAATGTTTGTGACAACAGACAAAGAGTACTGGACAGCTGTTTCGGCCTGTTTGGGACTCGTCAGCATTGAGTACTTATTGTGTCCCTGCCAGGACTCGAACCGCGAACATCAACAGCGCCTGGTGCCAGTGAAAAACCGAACGGGCTAATCCAAACATTCACCATCTAAAAAACTGTTTGTTTTTGAGCAACAGCTAGATTCAAACTATCCCACAGAAAAAAACTTCAACTTGAGTTTTTCTTGAAATGTGGTCCTTTTAGTGCCCCGTGATAAATGGTTTCACTGTTTCATATTTAATTTGGCTGGTTTGTCCATGTATAATAAAAGCATTTTTTTCAAACGGTTCCTTTTTGCACGTTAAACTACTAACCAATCAACATGGAATCAATTTCCATTTTTCATTTGTTCAAAAAACTCTGTACAAAATGAACCGCGAACAATCGCGATCAATAGGATGAAAAAATATATAATTTTTGATTATGTGATGTAAATGATAGTTTTATGATCTTAAATCAACATGATGGCAAAGGGACCTTAGTAGGTTCTTGCAAGTTTTGCGGTTGCTATTATCATGGTCTTAGTTGAACTCCATTCACCACAGACAACACGAACAAATATTACCAAAAGAATGGTTCTCGTGAACTGGTAAAACATTTCTGTCATTAACTATCCAGCAACCTTGTACGATTAACGTTGTGGAATTCACTATCCGCAGCAGCAGCAGCAGCAAGATTGACGTAAACATCATCACTGTCATCATGAGGACAGATGTTTGCCTTCATTGTTGGTTACCGTCGTCCTGATGTGGAAAGTGTTCATTGAGCTTTAACAATACACTGTGCGTACTATCATGAGCATTTTCGTTGTGAAGGTACAGTGACTCCGTTTGGGGAAAGAAGTAGCAACTGTTTTGGCCGTCTGTTTACCGTCCGAACGCAAATGAAGTTACTACCGAAAATTGTTTTTACACATTTTATTTTACTTGTAAATCATTCGTTTTCATCTTTCTTTTATAACTATATATATGTATATTACGATAATATAAATATTGACTAACCTTCATAATACTCCGTTTAGGCTAGTCTGTTTGATTTCTATACATAAAAGATACTGTATACGGTCTTGGTGGGTAGTGGGTTTCAATACACGGAAGTTTGTTTACGCCGTGCACCTCCTTTCTCATTTTCAAACTTTCGGAACATTTTCAACTCCCTTATTGAATGAAAATATGCTAACACCATGATTTTTGGTGATAACTTCCTCAATAATGATTTTCCTGCAGGCTATAAAATTAGGTTCGAATACATTTTGAGCTTGTCCACTTTCAACTGGAATATTTGAAACCTACCATTTTCTTTTGCCTTCACCTACCTACTCCAAATCGTCCCGTTGATGGTTATCTCTAACCTATGTAGCAAGCGATCACGAGGTTCTCTGTCTGTTCAGATTTAGATTAGCATTGATGCGGTTAACGTAGTCCTGTGTTTGTGGTGCCATGCCAACCTCAGTCGCAAGATAAGATAGTTGTCTAAATATATCGAGAAACATAAGCATAAAAACGGAACAATGAAGTCATTTCAAATTGATGCGTTTCTTTCCATCACTCGTCAATATTCGTCAAACTGACGAAGAAACTACCCTGAAAACTGATTTTATGCATTCATTCCGTTAACCTTTCTACCGATCCTCATACTTGGAATCTTAAATATTCCGAAATAATTAAACATGTACCGTGTCTTCACTCGATTTGAAAATAATACAATCGACAATATCGGGAAAAGTACTTATTGGGAAATAACCACAAAATGATCCAATTCCACCAACGAACAGAGTAGAGTGATCGTCTTCGTACTGTTATGACACAAATCCACGAATTATCTGACCTATTAAGAAATAGCTGCATCAACATCATTCCATTCAACTCGTCACCAAATTCTGTAGTGTTTCTGATACACCGGTTACTATCATTTGAACCGCGGAGCGGAACTTTGGAACGCTCATTCCTGCCATCTTAATTGTGTAGGTTTTTGTATTTCTGCTTGATTTCTTCTAACGTCAGAACAACCGCTAAAATCAAGGCGCAGAAACGAAGATGACTGTGGGATATTAGTGACTGTTAGTACATCCAGAAACGTTTATTAGAACTACTTAACTACGCCATTCTAAAAATGATACTAGACGTCTTAGGTCATTGTGACAACTTGCATCCGTTAATACCACCATGGTCAATTTGTGTCAACATCCTTAACTGTATAAATCGAATCGAAGAGGGGTCGCTAAACACAGACAATATGCTTCAACTAGCAACACAAAGCCATCGATATTACAAGTGTTTTCGTTCATTGTATGCTACTATAAAATAAGATGCTCCACTGTCACTGATCCACTGGTCCTTTCAACCGTAGTAAATAGGATTAGCAAATATTCAGTTCTGCTGCACTACGTGGTACTCGCAAAATGACGATATTGATCTTGTGAGTTTTTAAGTGCACTTATTTCTGGCGTGTTGAGATAACACCGTCTTTGAGGCAGACGATTTTCACTAATTATTTGACGCCATATCTGTAGCGATACATATATATAACTCCTTATCTTTAAGCAAAATCTGCTTACCTCTGTCCTGCTTTTATCGTCAGAGGACCCGGACAATCTCAGCAACTTGGGGTTTCTCAGAATATTTTTGTGTTGACATGGCTGGGGGTGGCTGTGATGGTCAAAGATGCAAAACGGTAAAAAAAATAATACCCTGTCAACCGAATTCTATCGAATGAAATTTGTAAAGTAAATATGTCCTGAAATTCTCGTTACCATGTGGTTAAGAGGGGCGTCTGCAACAACAGCGAATTCAGCAGTAGCCGTCGCCTAGTAAGCAACCACATTGCGCACATCCCTGACACCGGCGGGAACGAATGAGCAAAGTCCCCTCGACTGCCAAAGTAAAAAGAAACACTGGTGAATCAATTAACCGATGAATAAATGGACCATGGATAAACGGATGGATGGATGAATGGATGTTAGTGAATGTCCTTTCAAGCGGATCCGCCATGATGAACCACTTCTGAAATAGGTGAATAAAGCATTAATTCCGCGATGCCAGCAATATCATACTGAACTTAACCGATCAGGATGTCATTAATCAGTTACAATCACTGCGGTCTAGCAACTTTCATTTATTCAAAGATTTTTCCCTTATTCATCTTATGTTTACAGAATGAATAAGGAGAACTGGTCATCCCACATGTCACTTACATCATTGTTCAAACTTGGAAAATCAAATTCAATCGATGACATCTTTGTGATGGTTTATTTACTGCTAAAGAAACCTACCAACGAGATGGACCTAGCCCCTACTAATATTGACAGTAGTTTGTGAAAGCATCTCATGTTTTAGCATCTTCATTCTTCAAGTGTTATCTCCATGTCATTTGGAGCAATGTATTGAGCCAAACTCTTCGATTTCGGCTTGCTTTTATTTAATGGTTACTTTGAATTATACGTTCATGTAAACTGAACAATCATTTCACTTTGAAGATATTCATTACTTAAACGTGTTAAAAAAAAGCTGTCTTCGAAAAGTTTCTATCATTGGTAGAAGCGACACGGTTCAAATAACCAACGCGTAAGTGTGTGATACAAAAGCCACATTCTCAAAATTCTCATTCTTTTGTGTTGACTCCGAGACACTTTGATAATTAGTTGTGATTTTATGGAGTAAAATGAATATATAAATAACTAATCTGCGATTAATTTGTTATGTTGATGATTTAGTGTTGGAGTGCTAATACAACTACAGTTCAATATAAGGACTATCGAGCAATAACCTAATTGGAATAATAATTATATTGATCAGAGCAGGGATTGGGGGCCCACCAATTGGTTATCTAACTAATAACGTCAATGGGTACTGACACTCAGGAGTATAAGCACAACATTGCGCTTCAGAGATATTAGAGCAACCAAACACCACGTAACGTACAACTGCGATGAGCACACTACAGAAAAATAGCCCAAATAACTCAATACCTGGAAGCAATAGTCGATATGATTTTAAAAGGTACTTTATCTGAACAAATATTTATTCATGTACGTGTTACCGTCACCCAACTTAATAATCTTTGAATTATTATCACCTTCACTGTGG